GGTTGATTGATGTTTTCCTTGCTCCTTAATTGGGTTTCGAGTAATGTCATTGTTAAATAAGAAAATTACGCTTCAGAAAACTATGTTGCAAGACCTGTTAAAAAAAATGTTCCTAACCTTTTGGAACCTGGTTCATATGAAATGATGTTTCTGATACTTTTCGGAACCTTTCAAAATCTTTTGCAATATATATATGATTATTAATTAGTCATCCATATGTTTGTCCTACAGTCACTATTTGTGTTCGTAGGTTGGATAAGAATTGAATCTATATTTTATCTTGGTAATAGAGTATTATTATCTTCAGTACTGAATGACATGCAGACTTAATGGTATTGTTGAGTGTGGTTAGAGACACATGCACATCCATGAAAGAGCCAAGGTAGCCCACTTGTTACATGCCTTCTGGAAGGTCCAAGTGGCAGGTAAGTCTACCATATGTTCTCTAAAGGTTAAATTCGATTGTGCTTAGTAGTTTTTATTAACAATAATATCTTTGGTGTCAGTGGCAAAACCGTAATAGCAGCAACAATTGGCATTGAGAGTGATTTTCCGTTTGTCAAGATTGTAAGTCCTCAATTTCTGATGGTCAGAGTGCCTTGGTGGCTTCTTCACTCTAATGATTCTTTCATGATATAGATCTCTGCAGAAACAATGATCAGTCTCAGATAAGGAAGTAAATGTGCACAAATTGTCAAGGTTTGTCGGTATCAGCCTAATATTTGACTAGTAGAACTATCTTGTGTAGTTATTAAAACTGGACCACACATATTGACCCAATCAAGTCTCAAATCACTGGGTCATTGGTTGAACTAGATCAGCTAGTCGAGCTTTAGGTTTAATAATTTTTAAAATAGAATACAGTTATATGTTATGTTAAAATATAGAACATGCAGATATATTATGGAAATATTTTTTATAAAATAGTTAGATGATGATAGGAGTGATGATAATATAGTGGCACACTTAGATGAGAGAGGGGTTTTCAAATAATAAAATATTTAATTACCCTTTGAAAAATTCAAATATCTTCAGTAACAAATGGAGTTGAGGGTATTTTAGTATTACAAGCTCGAATTGTCTAATTAGTGAATCAAACCGGGGTTTTTCTGAAGGTCAGGTTCCCAGTATTTTCAGTCGGCCTGGCCCATCAGATCTGTATCTTATATCTTGCCGAAGTTCAAGTCATTTGAATTTTTAGTGAGAGAACATTTTATCTTTCCATTTCTCTTATTTTGCTCGCACTATATCTTATTGGAATTCTCTGAGACTTGATAAGTTCTATTTGTTTTGGGTCTTTATTCTATCCTACTTATTTGTGCCTGCTACCTAATATAGTTAGGTTGATTTTCTTTTTCATGTTCTAACTTATTCTGCCCTAATATAGGTTTTTGAAGATGCTAACAAATCTCAACTAAGCATCATAATTCTTGATGATATCGAGAGGTAAGTCGTGCTTTATTCTGATTTTGCTCAATAGATTCCTAATACCACTTGAACATATGACTCTAGGACATTATTCCATGTAATAGTTGATTTCTTTGGTAGCTGATTCTTGACTAACATCCACTGACAAATGGAAATAATCTTGTATTACAGGGCTTGTTCTTTTGGTTTGTATCTGTATTAACCTACTGTGACTCGATGCTTTTTGTAATGTTCAATGCTTCAGGTTATTAGAGTATGTAGTTATTGGACCACGTTTTCGAATTTGATTTCACGGACTTTACTGGTTCTCCTGAAATGGGTTCCTACAAAGATTCTGTTCTTGTTTACTGTATTAAGCTCCTCTCAAACACGGTAACGAAAAAAAAAGAAAGAAAGCTATGTTATGTGTGCTTGTCATTTCATGTACTAAACTATAAGTGACCTGTGTTATCTCTAGTTTCCACTGTGCCAAAGTTGCTTATTGTGATTTTTTTATCAGTGAACTATGCATTATGTATAACTCTTTTGTTTGTTATATACACAAGGCATACATTTAAAAATTGCATGCTGAATTGTGTTGCCTTTTGTATGTTTGCCATGTCTTAATTATTGTTCAGGGTAAGAACATGTTGGTACTTGGGACGACAAGCGAGATGGAATTTCTGGAGTCTCTTGGTATATTATGTGATGCATTCTCTGTTACATATCATGTTCCAAAGTTGAACAAGGAAGATGCCAAGAAGGTAAACGAACATGCATGCAGATTTGTATCTTGTTTTAGCTGGTACCCACTTTAACTCTTAGAGGTGTACAAAAGGCTAGAGTAGTATTAGTCATGTCCATTTTTTATATTACTACTTATAAAGTCTAAATGAATAGAAGCATGAATATATACTTAACAGGGCAATTAATTGTAGGATAAATATAAAATTCTCTTGGACTTCTTATATATGCTTGCCAAGTTCCATTAGATTATCATCTCTTAAAAAAAAATTGAATCAATGTTGCTACGATTTACAAGTTTTATGATCGTCCTTGCTGGATTATGTATTTCCTAAAGGTGTTTTAGGCGATGGTTCGCGGATCTGAATCCAACCAGCTCAGGGCGGCAATGTCCCTACCAGGTGTGTATATTTGCTTTTGACCTTAACTTGTGAAACCTCTGTCCAGGTGCTGCAAGGGCTCTTTGTATTTGCTGAAGATGATGTTGAATAAGCAGTTGAAGAATTGAATGATGTAATAAATTTTATAAATGAAAAAAATTCTCTAGAGGTTTTTCCATTTTCTGTATAATGATTATGCTGAGCCATATTGTATATTAGCTTTCACCATCTTGGTAGTTGCTAATCTCATTACAGAATGAAAAAGTGGTGATTTTGTAGTTTCATGGAATGTTTAAGATATCAATCAAGAAATTATACATGCTTGTGGAGATGGCTGCACAAGGATATTTGTGATATATTGCAAGATATTTCTTCTGATCGTGATCAACTTCTTTCCATATAAATCTGCAATAGATTATGGACACATTCATTTTTTTTTTTCCTTTCTGCTCATTCCTTTCTGTTCTCTTTTCAGATCACTTCATATATTCTTTTCTCCTCTTTATTACTGTTGAGGTAAGACATAATTCTGTTACAATTTTTTCCTTTCTAACACAGGTTGTGTGTTTGGATTAATGTTTTCATCGTGAACATAATTTCACATTATTGGATAGTTTGATCCATGTGCAAGATCCTATTTGTGCAGGTCCAGGAGAGCAGTTAAGGCATTTGGAGACCTGCAAATTAACGCAGGTCTAGCATCTTTCTTGTCCCTCCCTACTTATGTATTTATTTAAGAACTTTCAGCGAAGTCGGTTGGTTAATTTTTATCTTGTCTGTTGCAAGATCCAACGGTTCGATGATCCTTCTTTTTCAGAGACCATACGACGTTCTCGTGTTGAATGGTAGTATTTTGGTTCAGCCACAACTGAGAGGTATGGTTGAGCATTTTTGCTTAAAAAACAATATTGTTTTGCTTTTAAAAAATGATATCAAGTCAGACAAGTAGTAGATAAGGGCGAGCCGGAAACCTGAGGTGGTGGTCTTCCGATTAAAAAGGTGAAAGGTGCTGCGACGAAGACGAGCAACATGATAGGTTTAGTCCACCCTCCAGGTTTCGAGATCTTTTTGCGACGAAGACGAGCAAACGAAACGAGGAGAAATTTACGTAACAGACTTTGTCCGCCTGTAGCTGGCGGCAATCGAACAAACAAGGCGAGACAAAAAAGAAAAAGCAAGTAATCATACGACTTTGGTGCGAATCTTCAGATCCGTCCTCCCTCGAGTTCTTGCTGGTATGTTGGCCGCTTTCTTAGCTTACTTTTTCTTGTCTTATTTGGCTAATTTGATTCCTACCTTCTCCCCCACCCCACGCATCAGTATGATTTAATGTTTATGTTATGACTTAGAGCTATGAATAAGATACAGATGTCGTCATCAAGTTTAGGAGGGACAAACATAATAAAACCAGATGGGTAGATGGCATCAGAGAACCAATACAAATTGGATCGAACACTTCTCCATCGGACACTTGGGGTTGTTGGCTTTTGTCCCCAGAGAACACAACGGAAAATCACTCAAATAAATATAAATTTTGTTACAAGGAAAATAAAAATGTAAATACGAAGAAAAAAAAAAGGATAAATTACTTAAAGTATTTACTTTTAGTTTTTCTCGTAGAGCACTCATCCCTCAATAAACAATAGTAATGAATAAATATTTATTTTTGTTATAAATATAATTATTAAGCAAAATTAATCATATTTTTTTTAAAAAAATAAATATGATAAAGATGTAATAAAATTGTGATTTCGTAATTATTAAAATGATTTTGAATAGAATCAATATAATCTAACTTCAAAATTTTTTAAATTAAATTCAACTGTCCTAAGTATATGACTAATTATTTAAAAAATACTTTTGAAGGAATATTATGAGTAGAAAGCTTTGGCTTCTTGAGTAAAATGCTTAGATTTTTTGAGGTTGAACTCACCAAATTTGAGTTCAATCATAATATGACTTAAATAAGGGATGTAAAAGGAGGGACAAAGAAAAAAGAAGAAACACTTCAAAAGATATTTTTCTATCCCATTAAAAAAAATGAAAGTAAATCAGCGAATTATAACCCAAAGTACAGAGGAAGACGGAATACGACGTACAAAAGAGCTTCCGTGTCAAAGTCTGATCTAACTAAACCAGACTTGGAATCCAAAGTAAAAGAAGCCGACTGAACACGATCACGGCACTCAGACACGAGAAGACGACGGAAAAAAAAAGGCTTCCGTGTCAAAGCCGTCTGCCTTTCTACCCCGCATCGGGAAGGGGAAACACAAAAAAAAGACCAGGAAGATGATGATGACACGAGAGGTGGAAGGAAGTTTACCGCTCTCCCATAATGGAGATTCCTTTGGATGCTTCTCCCGGTGGTGTGTGGAGCACAGACACTGAATGTGGTCCGTCGCTCCAATCCCTCACGTAATCGGGGGGCCGTCTCCGGCTATAAATAACCCCCCGATCGAGCGAACGCTTCTAACCAGGAGGAACGCATACCACATCATGGTTGAGTCGCAGGCCGTATCTTCGCAAGGTGGCGAACGTTTCAGCCAAATCGGTCAGGTGGTCTGCTGTCGCGCGGCTCTTCATGATCATATCGTCGACGTAGACTTCGATGTTCAGCCCGATCTGCTGGGCGAACATCTTGTTCACGATTCTCTGATACGTGGCGCCTGTGTTTTTCAAGCCGAATGACATAACCTTGTAAAAATATGCCCCCCTGTCGGTGAGGAAGGCCGTGTCCTCTTGATCCTCGGGCGCCATTCTGATCTGGTTGTAGCCGGAGAAGGCGTCCATAAACGAAAGGCGAGCATGCCCGGCGGTCGCGTCGACGAACTGGTCAATCCTTGGGAGGGGGTAGCAGTCTTTCGGGCACGTATGATTGAGACTGGTGTAGTCAACACATATCCTCCAGCTCCCATTAGATTTCTTGACGAGGACTACATTGGACAGCCATCGCGTGTATTTGGCTTCTTCTATGAAGCCTGCTGCCAAAAGTCGCTCCACCTCTTCGTGGATAGCCAGTTGTCTGTCGGGAGCATGCTGTCGGGGCTTCTGTTTTACTGGTCGAGCATTGGGCGCTATGTTCAGATAATGTTGGGCAGTCTTTGCTAGTCATAGGTGCCCAGCAAACCAATCACGTGAGTGATGGCACGTGTGACTTGATACAGAATCTTTTTGCTTATTATATTTTGGCGTATATCACTTTATATATATATATATATATATATATATATATATATATATATATATATATTGTGATGTCCTTGGATTTGTGCAATGGAAATCGGATCGTGATGAGATCACGCTAATGAGATCGATTCACTTTTAAACACATCCTAAATAATCCCGGTCATAGGTT